GAGGGAGAATGAGAGAGAGAGAGAGAGCGAGAGAGAGAGAAACAGAGAGGGGAGAGAGAGAGAGAGAGAGAGAGAGAGAGAGAGAGAGAAACAGAGAGGGGAGAGAGAGAGAAAGGGACAGCGAGAGCGTGAAGGAGGGTCGAGATAAAAAATAGTTTTTAGATCCTCATGAACTCATTAATCGTCATCCTCTCTGCCCTCCCTCCTGCACTCCCACAATACCGATCAGCAGCATGCATCAATAATGTCCGTGACAGCACGAGGGGGACGGGTTAGACAAGCAACCACCGTCACCCTGGTAACCACCACCACTTCCATTGCCACGACAACAATTGCTGGGGCACACAGGGGAGTCTCATTCCTCAGTCCTCGCCAGTGCAGGCAAGCAGCTCTCTGGGTGGATGCTGACTAGGTCTCCTAAACCACAGGTCAGATATTTTGTAATCCTCCTAATGGTTAAGGATAGTAGCTGGTTTGGGTTGGATCTGATCCTAGATCTGTGGTTATGGGAAACTCCTACTTTTCTTTAACCGGGACCCAGGGACTGGAGGAGGAGAGGGGCCCAAGGAAGAGAGCAACCCGACTGAGGGCCACTAAAAATGGGCTCTATCTGAGGCCTGCATGGGGAAAATGAAACATGGTCAGTCATAGTCAATGATGTGTTTTTAAGTAGACCAACACACACTATATTTAATTAAGTTTACTTTCATGTTAATATTCATTAATTTAATTAATTAATTAATTAATTAATTAATTAATTAATTAAAGGTCGTTTAAATGTTAATGTCCCTGTTGAGCGTTTGTCAGATCTGCCAGTGCCACATAACGTTTCTTGCATCTCAACAAGGCCCTGTGTCTGCCACACATGAACGGTGTGTGTAGTCCTATTGATGAAGGGAAAATGTAGGCAATTTGTTGTCAGATAATACAACTTAAACTGCTTTTAAATAGGCTACCTTTTGAATCCAATGTCCTTACTTGAACGGGCATATGACAGCCTATTCTGGCCTACAGTGCATTTTAGGGTGAGCGCAATCTCAGTTAAGAGCAGACTGATCACTAGTAGACAGACCCAGCAGACAGAGTAAAATGGCTTGATTGATTGTCTGTCCGGGTTGGCTGTTGTGACAAACATTTGATTCCACTGTAAAATGGTTATTGTGTAGCCCTAGTTGCGGGAGTGAGGGAGCTACTACTGTTGGCTTTATAAAGAGAGAAAAGGGAACGAGAGAGAGAAGGGAATATGTTTCAGGCAATTGGCAATAAAACGAAATAATGGCCTCTAGATTACAGATTGTGAAGGCGGCGGCCGTTTGCATCGCACATACCATACGGAGGTAATATCATATCTAATAATCATGTTTTTAAAAGAAATCATATTGCGGTTGTTAAGAGGACCGGCGCGAAATGTCAGATCTGTGTTCGCGCCTCTTGAAAGGTGTGAAGGGATGAACAGGGGCTCGGGCCCACGGAGCTCGCGAGAGGGACATTTCTGTTCGTGCTGAAAACAAGGAAAGGAGAAGCAGATCGTGAACGGTTAAACCAATCAAATTGTTATAAGGGAACGGATCTTCGAATTTAACCAATGAGCAGGCAAGTTTTGGTATTTACCCCACGTGGGGCGTGAGTCCCAAATAACACCGACCATGCGTTGAAGCTGGTCTGGCCAATCAGGGAAGAATCAGGTGTTAATCTCGGGACGGATTGGTTCCCAATTTCATACAGTCCCTCAGTCATCGGTTTACGATTTGTTAACCCCTTACTACCACAGGAATATGGCATAGTAAGCGAATGGTCTTACAGCCTAAACTGAGCTATTAGTAGGCTTAATGAAATCATGTGAATGAATGTGGTTAGTTAGACAAAGTTAGGCACAACAAAACGTCAAGAAATTAAGACAAGTTAACTAAACAAAGGGC